CCCCACACCCTAAACCGTAAACCTAAACCCTAACCTCACCGAATGCCTCCTCACCCCCTGGCACCCCCTGGCACCCCCCTGGACCTCAGTTCTTCAGCTCGACCTCCTCCGCCCCTCCTCCACAGGGCGTAGCGCAAAGCTTTGCGTTGTGTCTTGCTAAAGCTGTGTGTGACTGTGGAGTTCACTTTGTGCAGAGCACGCGTAGAGGCAAGCATGCTAATGCCATCCCCTTATTCTTGCCCCGTTATATTTATACTACAATAATCCCCCCCAAAAGCCCCTATTCAGTAACTTTCTACAATCGAACCCTTGCTGATAAGGTGGCGCCCCCCTGAAACCCTTCCCTGAAACCTTCAGACTTTTTCTGGGACCAAAATGGGACCTGCTCTGGGACCCCCCTGCCTGGGAGCCTGGGACCCCCTTCTTGGACTTTTCTCCCTCTCCCTCTACAACCCACTCAAAATCCCCATAAAAGGCCTGAAGCGGAATAAGTGTTTAGAGATGGGCCGTTTTTAGAAGTGGGCTGTTGCCTTGAGTTTAGGCCTAAACCCTAAAAGGGGTGGTCTTGGCGCCTGAGACGGCGTGGGGTGGGAGAAAAGTGTTAGATGGCCCTCCACTATCGGGCCATGGCTGCCACTCGCATTTCACGAATCTGTCGAAGCGAATCTGCATCCCAATCTTCACAGCTTCTTCGCCATTTCACAGCAAGCCCCAAGCCCGAAACCCTAAACTCTAAACTCTAAACCTTAAACCCTAAACCCCAGTCCCGTAAACCCTAAAGCCTAGCCTCAAACCCTAAATCCTAAACCCTAAACCCTGAACCCTGAACCCCAAACCCCTAAACCCGTAAGCCATAATGCCTAACCCCAAACCCTGAATCCTAAGCCGAAACCCTAAACCCGAAACCCGAAACCCTAAACCCTAAACCCTAAACCCCAAACCCCAAACCCTAAACCCTAAACCCTAAACCCTAAACCCTAAACCCTAAACCCTAAACCCTAAACCCTAAACCCCAGGTACCGGTCGTCCCTCTGCAAGCTGCGCGTCATCCGGGACCTCCTCGAAGAGCCTGGCATGCAAACCCTGCAGCCTGCGCCGCATTTTGCGGTTTAGGGTTTAGGGTTTAGGGTTTAGGGTTTAGGGTTTAGGGTTTAGGGTTTAGGGTTGTAGGGTTTAGGGTTGTAGGGTTTAAGGTCGTAGGGTTTAGGGTTGTAGGTTTTAAGGTTTAGTGTTTGGGTTGTGGTTGTGGGGTTTAGGAATTAGGCGAAGGGTTTGGGGCTTTATGGTTTAGGGTTGTTGGGTTTAGGGTGACGGGTTCAGGGTGAAGGGTTTAGGGCTTGAGGGTTTTAGAGTTGTAGGGTTTAGGGTTCAGGGTTTGGGGTTTTAGGGCTTTAGGGTTTAGGGTTTAGGGTTTAGGCTTTAGGGTCTTAGGGGTTGTAGGGCTTAGGGTTGGAGGGTTTGAGGGCTTTTAGGGGCTTTAGGGTTTGAGGGGTTTTGGGTTTCAGGGCTTTAGGATTTTTAGGATTTTGGGGTTTTGGGGCTTCGGCTTTGGGGTTTTGGTGGGGTTTTTGGGTTTTGGGGTTTTGGGGTGTTCGAGGGTGTAGAGTTCAGGGGTTTCAAAGGGTTCAGGGTTTTTCGGGTTTCGAGGGTTTCATGGGGTTCTGGGGAGTTCTGGGGGGGTTTTGGGGGTGCAAGGCTGTAGGGTTTACATAAGGTTTTGCTTTTGGGGTTGATAGAACCTTGAGGTTTGCGTATTCTATTTTTTGGTTATGTAGGGTAAACCATGAGGGGTAGAGGAGCAAGGTTTAGGGCCCAATAAGTGAGAACATGTAAATGTTTGTGGTGAGGGTTTTAGGTTGAAATGCGTACGTCTCTCGCAGAGTTTTCAAGACTTGTCCACCTCTCACTGTGGGAATCCTTGAGGCGAAGAGCTATTCTGGAGAGGGTTCTGGCTCATTTCAGGGTTTAGGGTTTAGGTTTTTGTTTTGGCTTGCGGAGTTTCAGGGTTTGCGTGTCTTGCTGGGATGCTTGGTGTTCGTAAGCTTCGGGTTTAGGGCGTAGTGGGGTGCTTGGGATGAGGGGGCACTTTCTCTTGGCCTGAACCTAAACCCTAAACCCTAACCCTAGACCCTAAACCCTAAACCCTAAACCCTAAACCCTAAACCCTAAACCCTAAACCCTAAACCCTAAACCCTAAACCCTAAACCCTAAACCCTAAACCCTAAACCCTATTTAGGACACAAGATGTTCGCAGCTGGCGAGGCACACCCTTCACGAGTTGGCCAGCAAGAGCCTGCATCACATGGTGGCTGCTGCAGATGACGTGATCTTCTTGAGTGGCAAGGTGCAGGGTCCTAGGTTTAGGGTTTAGGGTGTTTGGGGTTTAGGGATTAGGGTTTAGGGTTTCTGGTTTAGGGTGTTTGGGGTTTAGGGATTAGGGTTTAGGGTTTGGGGTTTAGGGTAAGCCCAAGTATGAGCCCTACATCCGAAGCCCTGAAGCCCTGCTTGAAACATTCCCCCATCCAGGGTCAGCTCTCCCCTAAACCCTAGATCCTTAACCCTACTTGGACGTTCATGGTACTTCTTACCCAATTATAACTGTACTTATGATTGTGCTTCTAACCCTATTACGGCACTTAAGGGGCTTGGGTTATAAGTACAGTTCTAATTGGTTCATGAGTACCATGAACCTCCAAGTAGGGTTTGATGGGTTCTTATAAAGGTCAGTGCCCACAGAGCCCCCCCGCCCCGGGGCCCCTGGAGGTTGCCACGTCGGCCTACTTGAAGCTGAGTGGGCACCTTGTTTCGCATTAGGGTTCAAGGTTTAGGGTGTGGGGTTTCGGGTTTAGGGTTTAGGGTTTAGGGTTTGCTGTAATAGGGCGCAGATGCTGCGAAGGTCAGATGTAGCAGAGGCTCGAAAACCTCGTCCAGTGCGAAGAGCAACTCTGGCCCGACTGTGGAGGGCCATCTAATACTTTTCTCCCCCCACGCCGTCCGCGGCAAAACCCACCCAAACCTATTCCTTTTAAGGGTTTAGGCCTAAACTCATGACAATCGCAGCCCTAAGCCCTAGGCCCTAAGCCCTAAGCCGTAAGCCTTAAGCCCTAAGCCCTAAGCCCTAAGCCCTAAGCCCTAAGCCCTAAGCCCTGAGCCCTAAGCCCGAAGCCCTAAGGGTTGCGAGTCTATGGTCTGCAGCCGGTGTCCGTTTGTGTGTTTGTTTTCGCCCCGCCCTCAGAAGTAGGAGTGGGCGCAGGTTCCATACATAGCGACTTACTTTATGAGGCCCCTTACTTAAGAATTCATTTTTGCCTCATTTTCATTGCAGCGTTTCCTACTTAGTTCGGCTGGCAGGCGAATGTGTTCTGCGGCCATCGGGGAACTTGCGGGCTTTTATGAGCGTGGCTTCGTTGTTTCTTGCCAGGTGTGCCTAAGCCCTAAGCCCTAAGCCCTAAGCCCTAAGCCGTGAGCCCTGAGCCCTAAGCCCTAGCCCTAAGCCCTAAGCCCGAAGCCCGAAGCCCGAAGCCCTAGGCCCTAAGCCCTAAGCCCTAAGCCGTAAGCCTTAAGCCCTAAGCCCTAAGCCCTAAGCCCTAAGCCCGAAGCCCGAAGCCCGAAGCCCGAAGCCCTAAGCCCTAAGCCCTAAGCCGTGAGCCCTGAGCCCTAAGCCCTAGCCCTAAGCCCTAAGCCCGAAGCCCGAAGCCCGAAGCCCTAAGCCTCAAGCCCTAAGCCCGAAGCCCTAAGCACTAAGCCCTAAGCCGTACGCCCTAAGCCCGAAGCCGAAGCCCTAAGCCCTAAGCCCTAAATCTTGAGTCCTAAGCCCGAAGCCCTAAGCCCTAAGCCCCCTAGACCACCCTAGACCCTAAACCCTAAACCCTAAACCCTAAACCCTAAACCCTAAACCCGAAACCCCCTAACCCCCAGCATCAAGGTCTCTGTGCTACTACCATGATGATGGTGAGGATGTGCTGGATGATAGACGGTGGGTCGCTGAGATGTGCCTTTGGGAAGCTTGCCCTCGAAGCCCTTATCTAGGGTTTAGGGTTTAGGGTTTAGGGTTTAGGGTTTAGGGTTTAAGGTTTAGGGTTTTGGGTTTAGGTTTTAGGGTTTAGGATCTAGGATTGAGGGTTTAGGGGTAAGTTGTAGTTGCCCACCTGTAACGGTCCTTTATCTAAACCTTGAACCACGACTGCTCGAGTTTGGGGAGTGACCTCGACCCACGAGATTTCCTTCTGAAGGGTGCGCAGGTTCCTCAAGGCAAGCCTCAGGGTTTAGGTTTCGGGTTTCGGGTTTCGGGTTTCGGGTTTCGGGTTTCGGGTTTAGGGTTTAGGGTTCAGGATTTCTTTTGGAATCCTGAAGCAGCTACTCAAAGGCGCCTTGGGTGTACATGGGGGACATGGAGGCGGACAGCATGTCGGAGCTCCTCGCCCTGGACGCAGAGGCCTTCTGCGCCGCGCTGTCCCAGAATTGGGACACGCAGCAGGCCGCAAGTGTCTTGCTAGCCCAGTGGTGGTGCCCTTTACTTATTTTTTTACCTTTACCTTTTTTTTTTTTGGGGGGGGGGGGGGGGGGGGGGGGGGGTTATGAGTTCCCTTATAAAGTAACCATCCCCAAGAGAGGGTGCCCTTAGTCTGATATGGTTACTGGCTACTCAGGTGTCTATGCCCAGCGGTTCCTCATGGTCATGGAGAAGAAGCAGCCACTTAGGGGTACTTGGAAATAGTTCTGAATTTGTGGGTACTGTAATTCCCAAGAAACAGCAAAAATTAGGGTTCCGAGTTCAGTTTAGGTCACTCTCCGATGTTTTTGTGGATGACGACCACGAGCTGGACTCCGAAGAAAGCGTTGTCGAGCAGCCCCTTGTGGATCTGTCACACTTGACGTTCCTGCCAGCAACCTGCAAGCGCTTCTTCTTGCGCTTGCTGGTGAGGAAGCGCCCCAGCGGACGGCAGGTCTCTCCTGAAGGGAGGAACAGTCAGCACACGAGGGGCAATGCAGACTATTGACTCATGAACCCATGCAAAATGCAAGGACCAAGGACCTCCCTCCTTCTCTTCTAAATGCCCTGTCGGCAATCAAAGAAGCGATGCGCCGAGATTGCCAGAGGCTGAGAGGCTGAAACTTCAACGAGTGCGAAGCCCCAATCAGTAGTGTAAACATGTTTAGAGTGACATGTCTCGCGACAGAGATCGCAGTAGACATGTAGCGAGTTTCTGGATTGATTTGCCCTCCATTGGTCGTGCAGCTTCATCCGCAAGCCCACATGGTCAGTCAGTTCATGCTCCCTTTTTGAGTACCCTAAATATCTGGGGCCGCCTTATAATTGTAAATCCCAAAAGGGACCATAATATGGCAAGTTGAGAGAAGTGACCACATGGTTTCCGTGGGTTCAGGGTGTAGGGTTTAGGGCCGGCAGGAGGAATGCTACGTTTTCCGTGATCGTTAGTGCCCGACCAAGAGTGCAGTGTCTGCTTCCCGTCTCGTAGGGGACAAGCGTACACTTGTACCGGATTTTTCAAGCTGGTTCTTTGCAAGGAATGAGGGAATGAGGTACCCTGTAGAATCCCTTAAAGAGTATCTTTTTATAGGGCCCTAATTGATTAGTTCCCTCATTCCCTAGTAAGAACCAGGATATTTCTCAAGCAGCTCCGTCAAGGAGACGTTCCCTTTCCTTCCAACTTTAAAATGCTCGGAGTGGCTCTAAGTGTCATCCCGCGCGCGAGAGTTCCAAGGCCTGTAAAAATGTTTACTATAGGGGTCCGAAGAATTGCTCGTTACATATAGTATTCCCTTATGGTTCCTGTATAGTTAGGCCAGGGCGGTCTCATAGGGAGCAGCTGGCGCCGCATCGACTTCTGCTGATAGGCTCAGGTCTCCGCTTTAGGCGGAGACTGCAAAGAAGCTTTCAAAACAAGGGGGTGTTTTGTGGGGGGAAACTTGAATCGTGCTTCCCCTCGGCGGACCGGACGCTGACGTAGTGACCTGTCCGCACATGTTTAACTGAGAGGGTTTCGGTTTAGGGTTTGGGGTTTTAGGGTTTTGGGTGTGGGGTTTGGGGTTTGAGGGTTTTAGGGTTTTAGGGTTTTAGGGTTTTGGGGTTTTAGGGTTTTGGGGTTTTGGGGTTTTGGGGTTTTGGGGTTTTGGGGTTTTGGGGTTTTGGGGTTTGGGGTTTTGGGGTTTTCGGGTTTTCGGGTTTTCGGGTTTTAGGCTTTCATGTTGCGCGCTCAAAGGTGAGGAAGAATGGACGCATTATTCGGGCTCGGCCGACACGCCGACGCCAAGCCTGAAGAGGACAACAAGACGCTCGGCTCAAGTGACCCAAAGTCTAGGGTGCATGGTTTAGGGTATAGGGTTTAGGGTTTAGGGTTTAGGGTGTAGGGTGTAGGGTGTAGGGTGTATGGTTTAGGGTGCAGGGTGTCCCTAGCCCCAGGGTTACGGGTTCAGGGTTTAGGATGTCGGGTCTAACCCTAGACCCTAATTGGGAGTTTCGGCTCCAGTTTTCGGGAGGGTTTGACAAGGACGTATGTTGTCGAGGGTTCAGGGCTTTAGGGTTTAGGGTTCAGGGATGAGGGGTTTAAGGTTTAGCTAAAACCCTAAACCCTAAAGCCTAAACCCTAAACCCTACTCCCCCCGCCCCCTAAGTATGGGCTTTTTGGGAGTTCGGGTGTGTATTCTTTCGGGGGGGGGGGGGGGGGGTGTTAAGGGCGGGTGTCGGTGGCACCGGCCCTTGGCCAATGTAAACCTAAAACCCTACACCCTTGAAGGCCGAAACCCTAAAAGTCCTTAACGCCCTAAGGCCTGCACCATTTCTCTGACCCCACAAAGTCCCGAAAGCCCTCTAAGCCCTAAACCCTAAACACCAAACCCTAAACCCCAAACCCCTAAACCCTAAACTCACACCCCTGACCTTAAACCCTCAACTCCTGTCCCAGTATTTGCTTAAGACCCCCCCAAAAAAAATCAAACATACTCTTCCTTATAAGGGCAAAATATAGAGATGATTATCGTTCTTGCAGGGCTTCTTAAGCACAGAATATTAACCCCTAGACACACACACACACCCTCAACTTGCTAGGATGCCCAGTAGTACCCTTATTCCCTTTTTGGGGGGCTTAGGTTCCCCTACAAACCCCTTTAAAGCAAAGCAGGGCACCCTCTTTTAATCCTAGGTTACTGGGCAACCTAGCTTGTATGGACCCCAGTGCTTCGAAAGCTTAGGATGGCTCCGGACATGTGGCAGACCATATGCCAGTCCTGCGAGAAATTCGCTGCGCGGACGCAGTTCGGGATATGGGGGGTTTGGTGGTCCTCAACCCTAAAACCCCTAAACCCTAAACCCCTAAACCCTAATCCCTAGACCCTAAACCCTAATCCCTAGACCCGAAACCCTAAACCCTACCAACCCTAAACCCGAAGCCCCTCCGAACCCTGAACCCTTAAACCTTCAACCCTCAGCCCTTCCAGGCCTTTTCTAAGGGTAGTTCTATGGGCCCTTAATATTAAGGGTTCTGAAGTATACGGGCCCTTGGGTTGTGTAGGGTAGGGCTTTCAAAGCAATCTGGGCTAGGGTTTAGGGTTTAGGGTTTAGTGTTTAGGGTTTAGGGTTTAGGGGAATCCCAGGGTGCGGGGTTTTAGGGCTTAGGCTTTAGGCTTTAGGCTTTAGGGTCTAGGGCCCAGAGCTTAGGGGTTCAGGGCAAGTAGTCCAACGAATGTCCTGTATTGCTGCTATTGCCCCAAGTAGCAGAGCCCTCAACCATTTAGGGTTTAGGGTAGGGTCCTACATCCCAATATCGGGCTATAGGTTAAGGGTTTCGGATCAGAAGCCAGGTAGGGTTCATTTGACTGTGGCTGACGAGTGCATATGGGGGTCTCCAAAATTAGGGGTGCCGTATTGGGGTCCTGATTAAAAGGGAATCCCACTCTTTGGGGTCTATATCGGAGGTCCCCTATGTTCACAAACCCCCACCTAGAGTTCCTTGCAAGAGTGGTGAGTGTGTATTAGGGTGTCCTTTGGATGCAAGTGATGATGCGCCCAACTTCACATGGGCGTTTCCCACAATAGCGGTTGCCATCATCTACTCTAAATATATGATAATCTCCTTTGAAGGATCCCCCCGCAAAGAAAACAAAACAGAAAGAAAAGCAAAAACATGAGCAGAAATGCAACACTTAGAGAAAATTGCCTAGGGGTGTCCTTTCTTTCGGGGATACGAGCAAATAAATTCCTATGATGTCCTTTTGTAGTTGTGGTTTCTATTAATCATCGCACCCTAGACCCTAGACCCTAAAACTCTAAACCCTAAACCCTAACGCTAAGCCCCAGACCCAAGCCAAAAAGGTAAGCCTGAACCGCAACCTTCGTACCACCTCAGACTCGGGTGGTCCATTTAAGAGCCTCCGGCTCAAGCCGCCGACCCCGCTGGAGCATAGTTGAGAGGTCTAAACCCGCTCGCATGGTTCGAAGATCATCTCTCGGCAGAGTTCTGTGAAACGTTTGGGGGGGGGGTAGGGGGCACCAGGACAAGCTCAAGCCAAAAAGACAGGTGCGGGGGTGGGGTTGGGGGGGGAGGTGGGGGGTGGGGGGGGGGGTGGGGGGGGGGGGTGGGGGGGGGTGGGGGGGGGGGTGGGGGGGGGGGTGGGGGGGTGGGGGGGGTGGGGGGGGGTGGGGGGGGGGGGGGGGGGGGGGGGGGTGGGGGGGGGTGGGGGGGGGTGGGGGGGGTGGGGGGGGGGTGGGGGGGGCGGGTGGGGGGGGGCAGGTTCTTCCACGAAAAATTGTGCACCGACCCCCCCCTACCCCCCCCGCCCTTCTGCCGGAATTTTGGGGGGTAAGGAGGGAAAGAGGGAGGTTTTCACCTCCTCAAACCCATCCAACACGCCGCCAGGTGCGGCGGATAAACCCTGAACCCTGAACCCTAAACCCTAAACCCTATACCCTCAACCCTAAACCCTAAACCCTAAACCCTAAACCCTAATCCAGGCCGGCAACATTGCCTACGCAACAAGCGATGGGCCTGTAACCTACCAGGAGGTCCTGCACAAGGCCAGGAGCCTGGGTACTTGGTTGGGCCCCAGACCCTCAACACTTTGGGGTTTAGGGTTTGGGGGTTAGGGTTTAAGGGTTAAGGGTTAAGGGTTAAGGGTTTAGGGTTTAGGGTTTAGGGTTTAGGGTTTAGGGTTTAGGGCTGCTAGAGCCGACACGAAGGGTGATGCTTCAACCCACTGCCACAGCAGCATCTGAGGTGGGTTTGCTATGAATGTTTTTTGTGGTCCCATTTCAGGTGTTGCTGTTGATGAGACTGTGTGTGTGTGATATATATATATATGTATATGTATATGTTAAAAACATATATGTATATATGACACATAATACATATATAAATATAGATATACATATACATATATATATATATATATATGTGGGGCTTACGAAAAAAGAGGACTCTAATCTAGACCCCCGATAGTAGGATTCCCTCAAAAAATGACCCCAATAAGGTACCCCTAGTTTCGGAAAGCATATATTCTCTTAGTATAAGGGGAACATCCCAACATGTATCCTTAACCCGGCCATGCATGTGAGCAAAAACCATGGTTCTTAAGACCAGGGGGCGAGCTTCCCGCAGCTTAAAAGTGGCAGTTTCGTGGGTTTCCATGAACCGTGCTTGTAGAAGAGTGCTTTTGGTTTTATGAACCCCTAAACCCTAAACCTTACGCCTCAACCCTCAACCCTCAAACCCCCCCCCCCCCCAAGTTCAAACTGCAAGTCGCCTCTCTGGTCGTTTGTTGTTTTTTTCTCCAACCGCGCAGACGTTTAGGTAGTGTGCGCCCTACTTCGTATACTTGGCAGCTCCCGTAGAGCTGCAGCAAACCCTGGCCCTAAACCCTAAACCATAAACCCTGAACCTAAACCCTAAACCCTAAACCCTAAACCCTAAACCCAAAACCCAAAACCCTAAACCCAAAACCCTAAACCCTAAACCCGAAACCCGAACCCCTAACCCCTAAACCC